ATTTAGAACATAAGGGAATGTTAGAATCTCTATTTTTGTACATAGAAGGTGTATCAAGGGATACTTGCTGTTAGAAGCAGTAGCTCATGTTAGCTCAGTTCAAACACTTAACCACTTATGCATGTGACTAGCTTCATCCGTCCAAGTGGTCCCTTTCTAGTTCCATGGGACCACTCATGCATGAATACTATTCATGAATGTGAATATTTGCAGGACTGAAGTTCATAACAAGAATTCAAATCTCACCTCTGAAAGCAGAAAAAATTTTGAATCTTGTTAAAAATATAGACCAGTGTCCTGTCAATCACATGTACCAATTAATAAATGCAACAGTGAAATACAGCTTTGACCCAGAAGGTGGGACACGAAGGAAGTGATTGTTAGTGATTGTAACTCACCCAAGGGCTTATCTCAAGGCAAAGCCTAAGGGCATATGAAATTTTCAAGAAGCCAGCAGCCACAACTATCTGCTTTCCAGACATCACTGGTGTTGTTAGATCACAGTTTGTGAGTCTGGAGCTGAAGAAGGTCATGTTGTTTGCATAAGATCCACATTTCCTTGAACTAGAATGTGGTTAGAATAACTTAGCTTTGAGATTCACCTATAAAATATAAATGAAAGTCTGGATACACTGAATGTCTTTTTTAAAATCTCAACCATGCTGCTTTTTGTTTTCTGGAGCCATATAACTTTGGAAGTAGAAACATTTTTAAAGTAATCTGTAAAGGAATAAACCACACTGTGTCTTTTCCCTTTTCATTACATTTCTTAATTAAATAATTAACAAATTATCTGGTAGTTTTCCTAAGGAAGAATGGGAACCATAGAAATGATATTTGCATTGGAGATAGTATCCACTCATTGGAGTTTATGAGGTTTTGAGGTTTACTTCCTTTTAAAAAAAAATCTTTTCTTTTTGCAGCTCTTCTATTTAGTCCCTGTATTTAAAAAACGCTGGCATAATTTAATATCCAGGACATGCTTTCCAGCCTGTGCCATACGTGAGAGATAAAATGGAAAAGTTTCAAAATCTATGTTAGAGCAACATAGTCTTATTTATAATGATGAGTTTTGGTTTTAGTTTTTTGTTTGGTTTTATTCTTTCTGAGCATGTTTTTAAGAGTTTTCCACTGGGAGACAACTTGGTAGTCTACAGTTGGAATACTCGAGATCCATTTTCTCGCCATCTTCAGCCCTATGGCCAAAAGATGTCAAGAATTATTTTCTTGATGTATCGCTTCTTATGTTGCCACTTTCACTTTTCAGGGGAGTGTGTTTGTTTACAAAGCACATGTAAGCCCTTTTCAGTGAAACAGGTTGTTCAAAATTAGCATTCAGGCTAATATATTCTTCAGAAATGTCAGGGAAAACATCTGCACTCTGTGCTAAGAAGTAGTTTTACTGATAATTTCCACTCCCTTCAGGTATTTAACAGCTGTCTCTCTAGCCAGCCAATAATTTGGCATAACTTTTCCCATTTTCTTGGCCTGGCCTGTTGCTCTTGACATGCTGGTGTAAGGAACACTTACACTGCTTGAACATTTAACCATAATGTCATTGCTCCACTTTTACACACCTCCCCTTCATGCAGCTCAGCCATAAACACACAGATCTCTTTAATACCTTGTGTCTTGGAAATAAAAAGGGGTCTGTCCATCGCATGTCCTTTCCACAACTGCTTACAGAAGAAAGAAAGCTCAGAAAAATCTAAGGCCTTGACAAAGAAGGTTGTTTTAATCGAAACAGGTCTGCGAAGAACTGCCTGTCTGTTATTACTGGAGGAAAGCTTTATCTGGCAAATGTCATCTTGAGAGATTGTATCTGTAAGTGTCATGGCTAATGGGGCATCCATTTGCCTTATCATTTTCATTGATGCTTCATTCACTTCCTTCTTCTGTTCTTTGTTTATTGTCAAATATTAATTTCACTTTGCTATTCCTAGCTTCATTTCTCAACTGAATGCTGTCTTCTACTTTCTCATCCAATCTTAACATATGCAGTTCAAAAGGAGTTGTGCATCACATACATGTGATATAATTCCTTTTCCCCTGTTCCTGCTTCTGTCTCTTATCCTCCAGAAAGGTCACCTCCTTTCAGTGAATTTCTGGTAAACCTTTTCTGTAGATATTGCTATCCGTATTGTAAGAGGTGATAATGAGCAGAATATGATGCTTTTCATTTTGAAGTCACAGTGTTTTTCTACCTACCCATTCTGCCGTAACATCTCTTCTCAATGGAACGAGGGTTGAAATTAGAGAACTAAATCTGGTTCTACAGATGTATCCACAAAGGCTAGAAATGCAAACCCAATATATATATCAGGGACTGTGTGTGCAGAATATATGGCACTACATAAGAATACAACTATATTATGTATAGTTACATATATTTGTATACAAAACTATGTAATATATAAATTATGGATTAGTTATTAATATGCATGCTATATATGATAAACTTAATTACAACAGAATGGAGTGGAATAGACTAGACAAAACTAGAGCAGAAGAGAACAGGAGTGAGATGAATAAAAATGTGAAGGTTTTATGGCATGGTAGCTAACACTACATCAGACTTTTGTTCTGTCTCTGTATGTTCAGATTAGAATTTATGGATCATGTAAGGGGATGAAGTGGCATGGGGGGATTTTTTTGCTGTAAAACTTTATGCTTTAGCTTAGAGGCCTCAGTTAGCTAGTACGTCACCTATGATTCTGTGGGAAGATAGGTGACTCCACCAAGGATAAACTGGACCAGAAAGCTGACCAGAATGCTCTGAAATAACCTTTGGAGTAGCTATTCTACACAAATACTGTGAAAAATTATACCCTGCATACCTCTGGCTGAAATCAAGATCTTGAGGACTCTTCTTCTGACTTCATCCCTTTTGCTTGATGTACATAAGTTGGGACAGGAGTGAAAAGTCTGCTCTCAGCATAGAAAGGACAAACTGTAGTCTAAATTTGATCTTTCTAGTCAAGGTGAACCTGACTTTTTTCATCAGCTTCAGTATTCAGGCCAGCCAGCCAAGTTGAGATAAATCTACTCATTGTATTGTCCGTGATAAGAAGAATGATTTGGGTTAGGGAATTGTAACTTAAATTTACCTGTTACAGATGTGCTAAGGGGAGCCCTGTGCAGTGATTTGCCCAGATACAGTGATAGCTCTATCAATTAGCATTTCGTAATGGTTGTGTTACCACTTACTATTTGTTTTGGAATCTGGATGCACTAAAACATAAAAAAAAGAGGCCTTGTGTCATTTTAAAAATTCTTAGTGGAGAAATAAATGATCACCATTCGTCATAAAGGATTCTTACTGACATATTCAGCTTCTGTCACCTTCATTCTTGTTTAGTAATACCTTATTCAATAGCAGTTCTACAGTTACGAAGGGGATAACTCACAGAGCAGGGTATTATTTTCCCTGAGCAAAGCTGAAAATATATCTTTGAGATACTAAATGTGACAGAATTCAGTGGGGCATCTGTTAAGGAAGACACAAGTTCACAGTTTGGTGCAGGTTTTCATATACTATTATGCAGCAGAAGATTAGCACCCCATGTAAAATAACATCCAGCCATCTACAATAAATATAAGGTTGTATCCTGTTTGCAGGGGTGAGTGCTGACCTATTTCTTCTGTGACAAAATATTATGTGCATGTTTGCACTTAGCAAAGTGTGAAAAACTGTGGAAAGTAATGGGTTAATCTGGCATGTAATTATTTAGAAAGTACCATTTAAATTTTAAAATATATATTCTGTTCTCTTTATCCTGTGTATTATTTTAAGATCATGAAAAAAGAAAGAATACAGTTGGAAATGTTCAAATCTCAGGAAGAATTCATTAGAAATGAATGGGCTGTGTGCAGTCAAATCACTACCACAACATCCTGCAGGATACAAAAAGCAGACAAGCAGTAATTAGAGTCCTGCAGGAAAAATCAATAAGTGTTTCTCTTGTCTTTCTGATCAAGACTGTAGCATGATATTAACAACCTGTGAAACAATGGGATACCCTTTTAATCTTATTTAGAAGTATGTAATGTTTATCAAATCAGTCATGTTTTCTGTGCTTGTAAAACTCTTCAGTCTCCTGCTATGACAATTTCTGTGGTGGAATCCTGAAGGAAGGATGTTTCTGTCATGCTCAAGTGAACATGCTGAAAAGGAAAGAAAAAGAAGCAATAATATACTTAAGCATAGAAAAGTAAAAAGAAAATACGAAATTTAAGGTTCCATGGATATGTGTTACACTGCAGGATTTAATTCTCCTCTCCTTCTGTCATGTAAATGAACTATAAATCCTCTGACTTCATCAGACCAATGCCACATGGGTCCGTTATAGCATGAGAACTCAGTCTAAAGGATATAACTACCCCTTGTTTTGCATTATGGCTATGAATCAAAAAACAAAGAAGATTCTAAACAATGTTACTGAAGTGTGGCTTTTCATAACTTTCAGCTCCCAAAATGTTAATGCCCTAGGGACTTCATATTTATATATCAGATTGTAATTTCATGCTTAAAATAATTTCCTTTAGGAATGATACTTGTCCTCCCTTTATCTGGTGAGTTAACTACTTTGTTATGTGAAACTGGGTTGCTTTCCAAAACGGAAAGTTCAAGAAGCACATTCTAAAATTCAGGTCTCTTTCAGGAACATAATATTGTTCTGTGACTTATTTATGGTTCTATATTTTCGTATCTGACATGGCAATATAGAATATCATTTACTTACAGTTCAGTTGATCTCATTTAGTGAGTAAGTGTATATTCCAATGATACATTAAGCTGTTGACAAATGCAGTTCCAAGTCCTCAAAGCACTGATTCGGCTCAGCACACTTGAAAAAGCTTATCTTGAATCATGCACTTAAGCTGATAACTTTTGCATAAAGTAAGCCACTTAAAATAGGAATTAACTTTAAGCAACTACTTAAATGTTCTTCTCAGTCAGAACCTTTTCCTTCCTTGAGTCTGCCCCTCTGACCCCATACCTGCATCAACTGCCTGGAAAGCATCAATTATTGTCCTACAACGGGGAAGACTTCATTCCACAGGTCAATTTGAAGAACATGGTGATATGAAGAAGAAAATGCAATTACTAACTGCAATAAATAAAAGAAATTACAGTCAGTCAATAAAACCCACTAGGGTTTATTTAAGTTTCAGTGCAGTGAAAACACTGTAAACTGCCATAAATTAATGAGTTCATTGCTTGTTGAGCCCTGTTTACTTCAGATAAGTTCTGAGGTAAACAACACTTTTAAACACTCTGGTCAAACTGTAAAAAATGAGAAATCGTGTTTCAGAAGTGCCTATTTCAACTATAAAAATAAAATCCACTGAAAATGGCTCCTTAAAGAAAGCATGCTCCCATTTACACAAAGTTAAATGTGTGCTTAATTTAATTAATCTGCTTAAATATTTCACTAGATATCTGATGTTTCCTAAAACAATGCCAGGGGATGTAATATTAGGTTTACCTATACTATTGTCATCCGATTAGGTCTCAGTACAGTTACTTCACCAATTAAGTTCCAACAGACAGAGTATTCCTATCTGAGCATAAGAAAAATTATATCGGATCACCTTACCTGTGGACAACCTGCAATGAAATATAAGCTTGCCTTTTTAACCCTCCACATGAAGCCTTTACAAGAATAAATTAGAACAAACTAGTGGCTAAAGTCTGCATGCTGTCTACAGTGTGTTAATAATTTGCTTAGCTATAAAATCTCCAAAATCACAAATTCTTCATATAAGATACTTAGCAGCACTGAATAAAATAGGCCTATTGCTTAATGTTCCATTAAATTTTATATGTACCATAAACCAGAACTACTTTGGATGGGATTCTTAATTTAATTATGTTATTGTCATTCAAATTTATCTCTGGAAATAGATATCTACCAACTTTTATGAGCATGATTTTCATATCCACTAAGTATCTGCACCTCCTACTGACTTCATTAGAAATTGTAGGTGCCCACCACATCTGCAGGTTCAAATGATAAGAATCAGGATTAGAAACAATTGCCTTGCAGCTCACAAATTGTCATTTGTTATTATACCACCACACAGAAATGTCCACACCCAGTAATCTGTGAAGGTAGCACACCATTATGGTCATCAACTATCTGCATCCTCACAGGTAGCCTGGCTTTGTACTATGATACACACATCAAGCAAGTCATTATGTTAATTACAGTGCATTTGTAAAGTTGCAGATTGTCAGGCCAGGAGGGACCATTCTAATCAAATAATCTGACCACTTGAGTATTACAGATGATACATTTACCCAGAAATTTCTACATCAGACTCAAATCTTCGTTTAAGCTCAAGAGCAGCTTCTCAAAAGAAGTCTAATAAAACTTGCAAATGACTTCTCATAATACCATCATGTGGCACGCCGCCTCTAAACATATTCTGACTTACCTTTGTGCTTGCAACAATATAGTTAGGTCAGTCATTACGATGTCTCTGCTAACCCATTACATATTGCTTCATTTACTTGCAGGCATCATTTAATTATCCCATGTATGATGCACAACCCAATGCTGATGGCATTCAAAGATACACCCATCTGATTGCCTCCTCTATATCTTCAAGTCAGTTTCTCTTTGTACTTCAGTCCTGCTGCATTTGCAAAATACAATAGTCTTCCCGTTCAGCTTTCAACAGTACGTGTTGGAAGGGACCTCAGGAGGTCTCAGATTCAGCCTCCTGCTCTGAGCAGAGGGAGCTGCAAGGCCAGATGGATTACTCAGGGCTTTGGTCAATTTGGTCTTAAAAATCAATGAACAGGGAGACTGTATACTCCCCATGGGCAAGTCCTGATCATGAATCAGTTTCTCCTTATATCTGGTCATATCTCTGTTGTTTCAGCTAATGTCTGTTGTCTCTTGCCTTCCCATGCTCCACTGTGTGAGGCCTGTCTCTGTCTTCTTGATGCCCTCCCTGTAGGTGCTGGAGGGCTGCTGTTTTCTTCCCACGTAGCCACCCTTGCTCCAGGATGAACAAGCCCAGCTCCTTCAGCCTCCCCTGACAAAGCAAATGCTGAAGTCATCAATCAACATGGTGGCCCTGTGTTGAACTCTGTCCAGTTTATTGGTGTCTTCCCTATTGGAAAGCCCAACCTGAACTACTCAAGACACACCACAGCGAGTGCTGGAGTAGATAATCACTGCCCCAGTTTAGAGGCCCATGCTACAAAAGACTGAGATGTTGTTGACCTTCTTCGCTGCCAGGGCACTCAGCTGTGCAATGTTCAACTTGATGTCTGCCGGGACCTTCAGGGTCTCTTCTGCAGAGCTGTCCCCCACCTCAGTCTGTATCGTTGCAAGGGGCTCTTCCTTGCATAACAGGTGGAGGGATTTGCATTTGTCCTTGAATTTCATAAGGCTACTCTGAGCCCATTCCTCCAGCAGGCTTAGGCTCTTCTGGGTGGCAGCTACGCCCTCAAGTATATTGGCAGTTCCCCTCAGTTTGAAGCCATCTGCAAACCTGACAGGAGTATACTCCATCCAATTCGTGGCTTGGATCAGGTGATTCAGTAGGTGTTGTGTGAAAGAGTGAAACAGAGAGAGAGCATGTCCAGCTTTCTCATTCCTTCTGTTCAGTTGTCACAAGCATCTATACTATCTGATCATAATTCACAGCTGGCAGTACAGTGTTGGCATATATAAATGGAGCCCCCACTTGACTCTTCTTTTCTGCCTTTCAGAGACTTACCATGGACAGCAGGAAGTTTGGAATCACTTTGAGAAAATAAGAAAATGATCAAGGTATTCAACATGGCTGCTTTGCATCTACTAACCAAATAATCAAGATTATTTGTTGCTTCACACAGCATTACTTTTGCATATATTCTCAACTGGTTGAGCCGTATACTTTAGCTGTTTTCCTTAAGACAAGTATCATGCTTGTCCTGTACTTTGTTCTGAGTTAAATTAGCAGTCCTGTGCTTACTTTCAAAAAATGGGCAGCTAATATCAAGGGTGGTACCATTGTTTTGCCTTCATTTGAGTGTTCCTTCAATGGCTTTAAAGAATAAATTGCTGCTTCTGTGGGTGTGACCAGAGAAATAAAAATCTCACTCTTTGTTTTAATTCCAAAGTAATTTATGTATGCATCCAAAATTCTTGAGTGTTCCTGGTAGTTATTATAATTTCCATTAGGACAGGCTGTGGCAAATCAGTATTCTAGAGAAATATGATCATAAATACCTGTGAGTTGATCAGCATATAGTTAGTAACATGACTCGTGCACATGGAGATAATTCTTGACTGAAGCCACAGAGCTGAAAGTGTTACTACCGTCTTTAAAACTATGCACAGAATATGACACATCTTTTGTAAGTTTATTGCAAATGTGTGACACGTGCCAAAAGTTTTAGTTCTTTCAGGTCTAGTGATATGTCAGGTGAAACATGTATCTGGAAGTAGGTCACACAAGAAAACTTACAACTGTTTGAGAACTGGTAGCTGAAAGAATACATGTCCCGTACTAGATCAACTTCTGCAGTCCAAAAAGAAGAAGGAAAAAAATGTAGGTTCGCAATCAGTCTCTTCAATATGCAGAACATTTCAGTACTTCAAGCATATGAATTGTCTACTGAAGTGTGGAACTTGCTTTATTGATAAAGGCTTTATACAGTGATGAGGACTGAGAAAAAACACCATTTCAAAACATCATAATGGAAGAAAAAAACCTCTTTTGTTAGTATGCAGGGCCATAAAGAGAGAGCAAATCTAAACGTGTTTCCTGTATCAGGAGAGGAGATCATTAGAAGCTAAGAAGAGTGTAGTGCAAGGAAGACCAAGCTCAGATCTCTTTATAGACCTCAGCTAGTACTTACAAGGGCAAATATTGGAGCCCAGGCTACCAAGGTGGTGACAGCTTTGCAACATGTTGTTGTCATCCTATACCTGGAAGAGATTCATGAAAAAAATATAATCAGTAGTCAGACTACCTGGCACAAATATTTTGCTCAATCCTTTCAAAAATCCTTAACAGTTTATGTATCGATGCCTGAGAAAGAAGTGCCACTTAAATACCATGCTGAATTGTCACAAACTGGACAATTGCATGTCTTTCCCAAAGCCTTGTGTATAATAAAAATAACCGTAGTCAACTATTTCTTACAAGTGAATATTACTATAAGCAACTTATATTGCAGGAGCAGGTAGAAGTGGAATGAATTAGGTGTTGCACTGTGCTAGGCCCCATAAAGCAGATTACAACAGAGCTCCTGCTCCAAAGAGTTTACTGCATAAAAGACGAGATGTAACTGGTACATGCAACCAGCAGGCAGTAGGAAGGAGAACGTAAACACAGATTTTCAGTATAGGTGAGCCACTTGAATTTTCTATAAATTTTTTTCTTATGTTTAGACTAACCATGGTAAAATTTATAAGTGACTCAAACTGAGGGAAGAACAAAAAAAAAAAAACACCACAAGAACAGCAACAACAGATTTTTCATAATTTATCCTTTGTAAGAAAAGTATATTTGAACAGTTACTATTTATCATATCACGTTAGAAATCAAAAGGGAAATGTATTTGCAGTGTGTTATCACAGAAGTCTCCACCTCTAAAAGTAGAAGAACTGGCAATTTTAACAGTAACTTTGCTACATCTGCGTGCTGGCATGACTCACATTGCGATTAACAAAGTGGAGTTAGAAATTCTTTGCAGAAGACCCAGAAGTCAATTAAGCAATGAGAAATATATTCATTTAAATTATAATGCATATATATAGAATGCACATTGATTACAATGACTTCAATAAGAGGTGGCTATAATTTGAGGTCCACGTAAAGCAAACATAAAGTCAGATATTCTGCAGGCTGGAATACTATATACTTCATATTCTAGAATACTGCTGTGATGTCAGAAGTCTTTTCTTCTCTCCCTCCACACAAACCTTCCCAATACAGCAGATAATTCCAATGCTGCTTTGAACATGCCTGAATTATCAGTACGAATTTAAATTAAAATGTTGTTTGAAAACTTTTTCATTTCATTTTATATCTAGGATTGGTAATCCTTTTTGGACGGGATCACAGACAACAGTCCTTTTACCAATTCATTACTTCCAGTGCTGTCCTGACTTGATGTAAAGTATGCAGAGAGATTAAACGATGGAAAGTAGAAACAAGTATATATGCACATTTTTGTGTTGTTAGACTTTAAAAAGTTCTTGGATATAACATGGGTTGGCTCTCTGTAAGTCAATTCTCCCATTCTTACACCTAAGAAAAATATACGGGGTTAATGGCAATGGGCCAAAATGTTGTAGTTTTATATTAATACCGGTACATACAACTTTTTTTTAAGGAGTTCCCAAGTTAACTTTGTAAAAGGAGGCATTAAATTGAATTCTGGCTATCCACACTGTTGTTTTGTGGGCTGTAGATGTTATTTCTGTAGTGTAGAAGTTCATTACTAAAATTAGAAAGTGTTGTATCTTTACTCAGTGAAGTAGGTTTTACTGGATAGGAATTTCAGAGAGATAGAGGACCTTAATAGCTACAGCTGTATCTATCCCTATATAAAACGTGGTTACTGTATGCCATCATTAAGCATATTAGCTCAGAAAGTGTTTTGAATACATTGATTATAATAAGGAGCTATTAAAATATATCTTATTTCCATTTGAACTAGATTGCCATTTCACAGCTTGCTCTGAGCAAGGACAGCATGTTAGCAATACAGCTTTCTGAGAAAAACATATCATATACTAAATCTTAATAAGTTCTGGTTCTCTTCTTCAGCAACAGAGTGGTTATCTGAACTAGTAAAAGAACTGTGTTATATTGGCTCAAATACACCAGCAAGAGAACTGAGGACTGTTTTATCACCTTCACTGTTACCTGTGATTAAAAAAATAATCACTGTAGAAAGGTTATGGGATGTTCTGAATGGAACCCATCCTGTATATCTTTACATGCCTGTGATATAGATGGTTAAATGTGAGCAAGTCACTATCCTGTTCTAACAAGTGGAAAGGACCTGACATTCTGCAGACATTATTAGATGTCTGCTTTATGACAAATATATTTTTGGTGATGTCTGAAGGTAAGCTGACATACTTCTCATCTACTATGATGATTTTTCACACTGGCTGGGTGCAAAAGACAATGGAATATTTTGTAAGTAAATAAAAAATGGTCTTATTCACTAAGCATAAAGGATAATGGGAGTTCCTGGTAGCATACTTAGGAATAGTAAAAGCTATCACAGCAATAGGAATATCCTCACACTAAGTCAATGAATTTCACAGCTTCAGGATGCAGAAAAGTCTCTAAATGTTTTTCATATATTTTTTTGTTTTATATTGCCTGTACACTTTTTGCTCTTCAGCCATCATCTGCGTCACTAAAACACATATCTGATGAAAACTGAAAAGCTAAAATGAGACAACCTAACAAAAACAATTTAAAAAAAATTAAAATGAATTTCTCTAAA